ATAACGTTTCTAAACTTTATATATACAAATCGAGCGTTCCAGATCACTATGGTAATCTTTTTATCTTGATGTAAGATAGACAAGTAATTTCAATATAAAATGAATCTTAGAGTTAAATATGACGAGATTCCTAATGTTAATGTGACATAGGGTCACAGTATGAGAGTCAATGGTTGAGTTAAATGTGATAATGTCTTTTATTTAATGTAAGATGGGTAGATAACTGCAATATCAGGATTGCGTGATAGAATAACTAATATATCTAAGTTGAATTTAAAGAAAGAAGTTTTTCGAATAATAGATTAACTATAGATTTTTCTTTCATCTAAAAAGCTAACATTTGTTCAAGTTAGTGAGAAGAGTGTCGACCTTGGTGTTTCGGCGGAGCATCTCTCACCACACTAACGTGAGCATGTGTTACTTTTTTATTATCAAAGAATAATACTTGAAATTTGTAAACAAAAATAAATCATATATCTAAGTTGAGTGTTATAAGTCGAATATTAACATAAAATAGCATTTTACTTTAATATAAGTATTGTTTATCTTTTATTTAAAAAAGTTACATTTGTTCAAGTTAGTGAGAAGAGTGTCGACCTTGATGTTTCGGCGGAGCATCTCTCACCACACTAACATGAGCATGTGTTACTTTTTATTATCAAAGAATAATACTTGAAATTAGTAGAGAAAAACAAAAATAAAAATAAATAAATAAAATAAAATAAAAACTATAAATTATAAATAATGGTGCTATTGTTGAACTATGAGTAGGAGACCTGAAGTAGGAACTGAGTTCATTGATATATTATAGATTATGATAACTGAAGCTGAAGTAGGTGAGTGTCATGATGGTCTGACTTATATTGGAAAGAATCTAATGTGGTATAGGAAGTTATGAACAATAAGTAGCGATTAATTAATTAAAGAGTATTTACTTAGGTAGTGTTCATCTATTTTGTCTTTAATGTACATTTAAACGTAGAAAATATTAGATTGATACGATCATACAGTATATTATTATTAGTAGTATGAATTTTTATTTTGAAGGTATCTATGATATACTGTGTGTGATTGGGTTAAAGTTGAGTGAAAATTATTTATTGATATATTTTTGTGATTAATTACAAGAGGAATATATGAAATGAAAAACAGGAGTGGAAGGAAAATAAGAAGATATTGAAAGAGAAAAATGGATATTGTACAATTTCAATCGATATCGTACATTTGTCTAATATTGTTGTTTGATTGATCAATAACTTTGGTTGTGTTGATATTTTTTTTTCGTAATATATTTACAATTTGTTGTGCTGTATAAGCTATGGAAGTAATAGGATTATGTTGTGTTTCTTGTAATGCGTACGGCTTTAAAAAAGGATAATCTGTCTCAATGATGATCTTCGATAAAATATTTTCTTGAACAAGTAACCATTTGTGAAAAATTTTCTGAGATTCAACATCGTTTTGTGATTTGAGAGAACCATTTAAACCAATGAATGAATTATGAAAATGTTTTAAAAAATTTGATATAATTTTTAAATCGCTTTTTGCATTAACACAATGCCAATGAATCTTGTGCATTGGATTCAAATGTTGCTTCAATTCCTGTAACATCAGACCAAACGAATGATTCCCACGGCCACGAAGAACGAGTGGTAATTGATATTTTGCTGCTAATACCAATTGAAATCGAAAAATACGTAATTGTAGATCATACGAATAACTGCTTGTATCATCTAGACCACATTCACCAATTCCTACTGTTTTGGTACTTAAGTTATATTGATGTTTAAAAATGTTTTCCAATTGTTCAAAAATATATTGTGGATTTGATGGAATATATTTTGGATGTATACCATATGTTGTGTATATTTTCGTATTTGGACTTTTCAATTCATAATTAATAAACCATCTATTGTAATGATGACGATTATCAACGAATATAATTTGTCTTCCGTTAGACAATTGATTATATAAATCAGTTTCATTGAATCCATATTTGAAAAATAAGTCAATGTGGCAGTGACCATCATATAATGGTAATATGAGTGGTAAATGATAATTCGTTTTGCATGAGCAGCGATAGTATAGACTCTTTTCACAAATAGAATTCATTTCTGTTCAATAGCTTTGAAGTTTGATAGCACAAAAAGAAGTAATAAATAGAGGAAAAGAAAAAGATAAATATATCGCGTTGAACGAGTTGTTACTAATTTTTATCATCAATATTGGAGCAGCTGCCTAATTCGAGTTCGAATATAAATGGAGAAAAGAAAAACTAAAACTACTCGATAAATTTAGGAATAGATTTAGTTTTA